ATTTCCATTTTTCATCCAAAATCTTGGGTATCTAAAAAAACACAGTGTTGTTACAGAGAACTGAAGCATAGCTTCAGAAATGGTGCAGTGTTGTCTTATGGCAGCTGTAGTTCAGGTTCCTCATACTCTTGTTCTTTTCTATGGGTAAAGCCCACTTCTGGACTTCCCCTTCCATGATGCTCCAAGGTCATGTGACTGCTATGATGCACCATCTCCCCCAACCAAGATGAAAAACAATGGTGGGAGATATAGTCTAACTAGGATACTCAGTCTGTAGAAGAGAATAGAAATCTGAGACACCTGAACTATAGCTCCCCACAAGGCACTACGTTGCAGTGGGGGGGAGGGGGGGGCTTACACAATCAAAATATTTTATATTGATTTTTCACAAACAAGGCATGAAATTTGCTCAAACCAATCTAATCCTCCAAAATACAATATAATAACTACAATTGTCTATTTTTATCACAAAAAATATATTTATATTTATTTTTAACTATTCTGACTATTCCTCCAATACATATTACTATTGTTGCCCTCTCCACCCCTTTATACTTGTAACAGGTTGCCCTCCCCAGTGGCATTTTTTTCTTTTTTTGCCTATGGGGGCACCCCTGAAGTCCCTTAACGTTTAATTTCTCTCATTCATCTCATATTCTGCCTTTACTTGTCTGCCACGTCTTGATGTAAATATTATTTAGATGTTCTTACAAGCAGGAGATTGTGTATTGTAATTCTTTGTTGAGGTTCTCAGCCACCATGGGCCTTGTCCCTCATCTTTCTCTAGCTAGGCCACCAGATAACGTTTGACTCCGAGGCTCTAGCTCCTTAATCCTCTCAGGGCCCGAGGCCCTCCTTTTGTTTTCACTCTAGAGCCCAGGCTTTCTAGCCCAAAGGCCTGTCCACTGGGCACAGAGCCAGTAGGCTGCAAGTTCCAGTCTGGGCAGCAGCCTAAAGCTTCCATGGGCACCCTTTCCTTTAGCTCAGGCTACTAGCCAAGATCCCCACACTGGGATCCAGCTTTAAAGTCCTGCAACCAGCTCTGAGCTACAGGCCCTATACAGCTGCACACTGTAGTGCACTAGGACCTTTGGCTTTTTATGACTGCACCCAAGGCACTAATGAGGTCTTCTCCTCCTCCCCTACAGCCTCGACCACAAACCACCAGTATCAATGAATCAAAAATTATAAACGATATGTCCATGGGCTATAACAAAAAAAATAAAGAAGGCAGCATGCCAGCTTACATTTTTCCTGGGCTCTGTGCTTCTGCTTCCCACCATCTGTTATGGTCCTTCTTCTGGGGCTGCCGCCGCTTCTCTGAGAGTCCGCAGTAGTTCCCCTCCCACAGCAGCTGGACAGGTCACCAAGCCTCTCTGTGGAGCTCTTATACACAAATTCCTTCCCCCTTGGCTGCTAAGCCCAGGGTTTTTTATAGTTCTGACCTGTCCCCTTTTGATCACCTGACTAGCTGGCCAGGCTCAGCTTTTAACCACTACCCTGCCAGCAGTCTGTGCCTAGAAAGTTCTGGTCTTAAAGTGACCAGTCTGCTTTTTGATAACAGGGCTAGGGTTCCCTGTTACGATACTCTATGGTTATTAGACCATAATTTGCCCTCAGTTTTATCCAGACTCTTTCTAAAGTCAGTAACAGTTCTGCTTGCAGACTAAGAGAAGATTTATGCCCTCATCTTGTTCTTTATTTCCATTCTTCTCTTCTAAGTCTATGCCAACTTCTTGCAATTCTGCAGTATAAACCACAATTGTCTCAAAGCTTTCTGGGGCAGCACACAACCTGATCCACTTCACCTGTGGCCCTTATGACAACTGTCAGCCATTCCAAGTGTAGGGAAAATACAACTCACAATAATTTAAGAAACAAAATTTAGATTTTTAGACCTAAACTTATCCTCTTGTTCATGGGTATAGATTGTAGCTGTGTTGGTCTAAGGACATAGGCAGACAAGGTTCTTTGGGTAAATCTGATGTCTTTTATTAGACCAACTCAAATATTGTGTGGTAGTCAGAGGATTGTGGATGTTTCATCCTCTGGGAATGATATTGTGTTTCTTGCATAGGCTTAGAAAATATATGTAGCTGTTGAGTTTGGCTTCTTTCTTTTTCCTGTTGCACTGTTTCCATTTCAAATGGCAAAATTCAATATGTTCCATGTTACAGGGGTGTAGATTGTAGCCATGTTCATCTAAGGACATAGGCAGACAAGGTTCTTTGGATAAATCTGATATCTTTTATAAAACCAACTCAAATAATCCTCTTGTTCATGGCATAAATCAAACCCCACTGATGATAGTAGCAAGTACAGTTGATGTAAGAAAAATAAAATCAGACCCTTTACATTTATATAGTGTATTCCAGTGAAATATTATGCTGCATTTGATGTTTTTCATATTCATCCTATTTCTTTGCTTGTAGCCTGTACATATATCCCTGCCAGATACTGATCAGTGTTGCATATAGTAATCATTCTTGGTATGCCTACTATATCCACCTACACACAAAGTGGCACTTACAGCAACAGCTTCTATAATTTTCCATACCCTTCTGTCTTTGGATGCAAGATGTACAATAGTCATAAATAAATATCATATCATACATACAAGTCCAAAATTGGGAAAGCATCAGCTCTTGCTAGTTTGAATTGATTCTGTCATCTAGAATCTAATTCATGATCTAATTGTCACCTCTCTTTAGGGCTATTTCAGAAATGGAAATTGTAGTGAATGAAAATAGAGAGGGAGTGTTTTCATGCCATTTCATGTTACCAAAAAGCATCATAGTTCTACAACATTTACAGCTGACTCATTGCACCAGTAAACTATGGTTTTCACAGGAAACAGTGTGGAAGTGAGAGAGAACGGAATCTATCCTCAGCCTACAGACATGACTTCAGTATGAGTAACCCTCCAGCCCCTACAGCAAGGGTGGGCAAAATGCGACCCGCTGGCCAGATGCAGCCTGCCAAGCCATTCTATCTGGCCCGCAGAGCCCCTAAAAAAATTAGAAAATTAATATTATTCTGCCCTGGGCTGCCTGTCATGCGGCCCTCAATGGCTTGCCAAAACTCAGTAAGCGGCCCTCCACCCAAAATTATTGCCCACACCTGCCCTACAGGGACTGAAACAGAAGCTAACAACACATAAACATCTTTCAGATGGGGGTGCCCTGTCCAAGAACCTGTAGGACTACTGACCAAAAGACCATACAGCTGCCTGTGTCCAGACCTACTCCTGAAAACACTACCATACCATGATTTATTCAGAACAGATAGAGCATGTCTTCCACACACAGAGGATGCAAAATTCTCCTCAACCTCCCACCATTACCATTGTAGTTCTGCTGCCTCAGGGATCTTCCACAGACCCTTTATTCAAGGGCAAAATCTGCCATAAAAAAACTTAAAAGGTGTTTGACATATTCAGATCCTGAAAAGTTGAACATGTTGTGTTCCCATTTTCCCTATCAGTATAACTCTGATAGTGCCTGTAGTTCTTTCAAGACAATTCAATTGTTTAAATAAACCTCTAGACTGTGAAATGCTTTTGGGTTTTGATCCATAAGGAAATCATAATAGGCCAGAGCTGCTAGACTGACTGATACAAATAAATGCATTTATTATTAAAGGATACCCCAAAGTGGTCTGATTTTTTTTCCCAGTTTTGAATAATTGTTTCCCAGTTTTGAATTCTATGAGAAAACAAAAAAAGGTTCGGTGTATTCAACAGAAGGTGGCTCAACACCTTGGATTTGATCAGATAAACAAGTATCCATTCTTTTGTGTACTTTGTTTCTTTTTTTTTCTGGGTGTATACTGGATATTTCAGGTGCTATTAAAGAAGCCAAAGATACCCTTTATCTGAAGATACTTGTTCTGTAAAACAAAACAAAATAAAGCATCCTAAAATTAAAAATAAGCATATCTTACTAGTTTTGAGCTACTCCAAATTGCACTTTATTTCCCCTCGCCTCCCCCATTCCGTAGATATTTACCATGACTTACAATGAGTAATTTTAGGCCTCCACCAAGAACCAATATCTTATAACCCTATCACAAGCTTTATAACTTGTTCTCTTAATTTATTGCAATAGCATTATTTGTCTCTAATAAGGTTGTACCAGATATAATAGAGCTATAATATCAAGCTATACTAAGACCAGTTTATATTATAGTGCTTTCAGCCCACATAGGTACCTATTATGTTGAAAAAAGTCCTGATGCTCTTCTCACATTCTCTAGTGTAAATCAAAAGTATCTCCACTATAATTAACAGAGCTGTGCCACCATAAGATTGATGTAAGGTCCAAATCAAGTCTGTGCTGTATTGTGATCTATCATTTGCCTCTAGCTATTTAATGAACCTCTTAGCTATGCCCTACTCTTGGAAAATATGCTGAGACATTTCTCAACCCTTATGGATAGGTGAATGGATTTCATACGTTTCACATCCTGTTTCTAAGAAAGAACAGTTTATTGACCAGGCAATAAGACATTCCTAATAATTTTGAATAATTTTGAATTGCCCTAGTGTCATGAAATAAATTATTTCTATTATTTAACACATAGCTCTTTCCCTGGTCCTCAGTCTGGAAGGACTCCTTTACTTAAGACTTACATGAGGTACCATTTAGGGCCCATCTGCATAGATGTAAGCAGATGGAGGCAGAGAGTTTGTATTTATAAAATCAAAAATCTGCTAGGTGCAGCAGGAATTACTCTGCTGCTCGTTTCCATAAAAAATATATAAAGATCCTGTCAAGTATTTAGCTGCAGGTATAGAGAAATTATTTAACTGCACTGGGAAAGTAATTGTTTGACACAGATCAAATGGCCCCTGGTGACTTCTGTCATCTTAACTGTACATGGTATTATAGCCTTCTTCTTAGTTACCTATGCAGAAATAGCAGGGAATACCATGGTGCGTTTGAATGTTTCTTATTACTAGTATATTTTCTAAATTTCTATTTTTGCATTTTAATGTATAGCTCCATCAGCCCTCCCAGACGCAAGTGGGACAAGCAGCCTCACAATCCAATCTTCTGCATTTGGCTCACAGTCAAGCATCTATGTCTCAAAGCCCAGTACGTCAGGCTTCCTCTTCTTCTTCCTCATCCTCCTCCTCTTCAGCTTTGAGTGTTGGCCAGTTAGTCAGCAGTAAGTATTGCTCCCTAGCTCTAGCTCTGTTTCTCCTCTCTGTTTCTCTCTGCCATTTGTTTATCTGCCTGATCTACTTTTTTCTCCTTTTGCATAACGGGCAGTATATTGCTAATATACTGAAGTAATCCTTGTCAGTGAGAACTGCTGAGTGTTGTGATGATGAATAAGACTGGGAGTAAACATGCCACAAGAAATTGCAAACAGTACTAAAAGTGGTCATAAACATGGTAGGAGTCCTTGATTAATTGTCCAATGGACTTAGTGTAGTGGCAGTCTATCTGCATTCTTAAAATGAATTGGTAGCTAATATCATTTGGGGAAAAAAACAACTAATCATATAATATAATGAACTATATTACTTAGAACTTAATTGGTAGTGTGTTCAATTTGTTGTCCAGGCTGCTTGTTTTTATTGTTGTTGTTGCTTGTTTGTTGTTGTCAGCATCACCATCATAGCATGCTGAGGTCAATTTGCATCAGGACTCCATTATGCAAGGTGGTATGCATGCATTAAGTAAGGGACTGTCCATGTCCAGAAAAGCTTACAGTGTAAGCAGAAAAGAAATACAAAGGGTAAAAGAGGAAAGAGAGACACAAGTATGTGATGTGACTGTCTTCAATATTATAAACCAAGTCAGTTTCTGAGCCAGAACTATAACTCAGCTTACCAAATGCTTAGTCCACAGTCCTTTTCCACTGGAACACGCACTTCACCTAATGCCAAGTATTGATATGGTAATATTTGTACATGTATGTGAGAAGCATAACAGGTTGAAGTAAAACACAAAAATCACTAAGGATCTGCCTCTCTGCAAGGGACTGAACACCGTAAATCTTAGTCAGACGGATTCCACTTACACATGGACAATTACACGGACAATTGTTTCTTGACCTTCAAGACACCTATTCTCATTTTCCAATCATACATTTCCACTAGAAATACCTCTGATTTTTGGTGGCGCAGGTCCATTACCACAATGAGACCTTCCGTGTGGCCTCTCAGCAACCCTGAGAAATTGAATCTGCACCAAGGTACTCTTAGTAGTGGCCATGTACCTCAGACAGCAAGGGGTCCATCCCTAATTAGACGATTGGCTGGTAAATATGGTACCTCAGCAAATATCACCTCACTGCTGCTGATGCTTACCCTAGGCCTGTTGCTGAATACTTGAAACAAACTGTTGCACAAAACCTGGAATTCTTAGGACCCACTTTGGACTCTGTGGCTATGATTATACTTCCACGAAACTTTCAAGAACAATGCCAAGCATACCTTGATCACCTGCTCAAGCTTACAAATGCCAAAAATGGAAATGTGGTGGTGAACCCACTTTAAGGGAATCTCACAGTACTCCTCTCGAGCACCCCATAGACAGAAATAGACCGTGATATCCAGAGCTTACCTACCACAAGATTGACTCATCTTGTTACTCAACTATCACCCCACTATGACTGCCAGGACTTATATCTCCATTCTTGGCCATGTAACTGCCTGAGCCTTTATGACGCTATGTCAAACTTCACTTCAGATACATGCAATCCTGGGTACAACAGTCCACTCTCTAGGGAAATATTTGCTGGGTACAACAGTCCACTCTCTAGGGAAATATTTGCTAAGTACAACAGTGATGATCCCCCTGGTAATTCAGTCTGTCCTGGGGCAGTGGAAGGTTTCATTCATTGTGTACAAGTGTTACAATTCCTCCCTTCACATTCATCAATAGCAATCATGACTGACACCTCCTTGGTAGAATGAATATTATGTGCCAAATGACCTCAAGGAGCAGGGTGTCCAGATGGTACAGAAGACAAAAGTTCAGGCCAGTGTGCTGAAGCAAAACAGAAAGCATGTCAACCCATCCTATACTGCCCATAGAGAATGTCAAGGGCAGATTATGATAGACAACTATGTTCTGCACCAACAAACAGCATGAGATTCTGCACCCTGTGCAGGAAGTTTGTTTGCCTATGACAGTGGTACTTTTGCCATTAAATATACCTGTAAGCAAAATAACATTCCTGGCCTCCGGGACAGTAAAATAGATTGTATCAAGCAGATTCATGTCCACACGCCACTAGTGAGAAGTCAAAAACGTTTGTCTCTCATCAATATTTACAGGCTGGAGCCATCTGGAGACTGACCTATGTATGTTGTATGTCAACAGGAAGTGTCTGTTATTCTGTTCCAGAGCAGGTCTCTGTCCTGAATCCCTACCTGGTGCCTGCCTTCTTGCGTGATCAGGAATCCTTCTGGACACTTTCAGTCCTCTCTTCTGATTCTGGGGGCTCCACCAAGTGACACACAACACAGCTAAGATGATCATGCTATGCTCATGTATGGCCAAGGCAATTTTGGAACCAAACCTTCTGCAGATATCACTGACATCGTTCATCTATGCTTCATCCAGATCTGCCGACATCTTACAGCCTGGATGCTGGGTGACTTAAGGAAATAGAACATGCTCTGCCTTTATCAGACCTCCCAGTTCAAAGAAGAAGAGAATCAGTTAGATTTGCTTATCTGGCTAAGTAGTCCAGATTCTCAAGATGATGCCAGGATTGAAAAGTCCATCAGTGATTGCAATTGTACTGTAATATCTGCTGTATCTTAAACAAGTGGACTTATCCACCTCCTTGTTAAAAGCTTCCTAACTATTGTCAGATCCAAAATACTAGATTGTGCCAAAATAGAGTTGCTTGTACAATTCTAATTCAAATCCCACTTATATATTTTCATTGTGATTCAGGCTCCAGTTACAAGATCCTATACATTTTTTTTCTGTGAGATCCCAGCCTCATTCAATAGCTCTGAATGGATCTGCTCTGAGGATGAATCCGGACTATGTAGTAACCCAAATTGTTGTCTCCAGGAACCTCTGCCTCATTGTTACAGAAATTGGGAAGTGATCAGTGAGTGAGCAGGGAATCACAGGAGAAGGAAGAATTATCTCATGACCAAGGCAGTTAAATATTGACCCTACTTCTACTGTGTAAGTCTAATGTGATAGCAAGCAAGTCATTTAAACTATTTTTTGCAGAGGGTCAGTAACATTGTGCTCCATGTCTTCTGGACAATAATATCTTCTGTAAAAACAAATAGGGCAGGAAAGATAATGTGGGCCCTTATGCTGGCCTTGTTTTATAACACTATAACCTGGGGGCATACAAATAAATTAAAAGGTGAAAAATTTAAAAATATAAACAATGTCTGGTTTTGAGGAAGTTGTATTACTTTCCATTTCTCAAGGCTCTAGCCATCCTAAATTCACCATCCAGCTCTGCCTGAGGTAGGATTTGTAGTATAGGTAGGATATAGGTAGGATTTGTAGTCCTTGTATAATAAATGAATATAAGGAAGTTAATACTTTCAGGTACCTCTGTATGAGGCAAAACTGTTACATATGGTGACATCTATCGAGTTATCTAATTAATTACTAGGGCAGAATTCTGCCACTCTTACAATGAGCAATAACTTGCTCTAAAACAAAATCAACTTTAATCAGTGAAATTACTAGAAATATTGTTATTTACTTTGAACAAAGGTGGCATAATTTGATTCTTAATAACTTTTTAAAATCCTATATCATCTGTTTTCTTTCTTTTTTCTTTT